CGACGGGGTGCAGAATTTCAGCAAGAGGGTGTGCACAGAGCAAAAGGGAGATCTCGAACCCGTAGCCAGGAGTCAGCAGCCGGCAATCTCCGCTTTAAGGCGGCCCCCTTCGTCCTCCTCCAGTCCCACTCGGGAGCCCTCAAATTCAGCATCCCGCAGTCCGCCCACCTCTGCGCTCACAAACGGGGGCCCTCAGAGAAGCGGAAGCGTCCGCCACCGCCGCTTCTTAAAGACCGCGGACATCCTGCGGCAGTCTGGCCTGCTGGACATCACTCTGCGCACCAAAGAGCTTCTGCGCCAGAGCAACGCCACCGAGCGGGAGATAGCCGAGCTGCGCTGGCATACCGAGCTGCTCTGCCAGGCCGCCTGCAGTAGCCCAAATGGCACCACAACCTGGCAGAGGGTGCATAGAACCATGGCCGATTCCAACCGCTACGCGGATCTGCAGCATTTGCGATTGCCAGCTCATTGGGAATCAGCTGGCCGTTTGGAGAGTGCTGCAAATGAGGCCTCGCAGAGGCGGGACCCATCTGCCCGACTCTCGGAAACACAGAGACAGAACTGCGCGGGTGTAGAACCGCGCCGAGAGTTCTTGTCTCGTGAGACTTCCCCTGAAAAGGTCACCTTCGTGCCTCCTGATAGTTCCACTGGTTAGTGTGAGGTGTCGTGCCTTAAGGTCGAGAGAGAACGGCACTCGGGTGTAAAGCTGTACCTGACAATCAGGCGCTCCTTTCTGGAAATCCAACTCGGTGACTCAATTAAAAATTTAAAGTCCCCTTTTAATACAATGAGGATTATGCTCCGAGTGCAACTCTTGGGGAACAATGGTCCCCATCACTGGTGTGCGACGGGTGCTCAGTTTACACCAAAATTGCTGCTGAAGTCCCAACAGTTCATAGTCCAGGAGAAGAAACTTCACAATTACACTAAATATTTGTGTGGAAAACACTTCTAGGCCATAATTCTAAGTACTGATGTCACTCAGTGTGCCTTCTCCTATTCTTTCACCACTGCACAAACTAGTTCATTGCCCTCAGTTGGTATCCTCAATGTCAGTACTGTCGTAAAGGGGGGACCCCCTCTAGGTGCCTTTGGGATTCTGCATAATGTCCATCATTAATTTGGACAACAACTGAGAGGAAGGGATCGCAAGTCACATACAACTGTCAAGCAACACTCATTTATCAGAGCAATTTACTATACAGTGTTTCGCGAGGGCGCGTTTCCATTTTCGGTTCCAGAACGGCCCTACTCTGCCCCCAGGTCCTTTGGCCTGGCCTGGTCTGGCCTCCGTTGCTTATGTGTTACAACAAGCACCAAATCAATTGGGGCGGGATCAACTCAACTGTGCTAGCTTCCATTGCACAATCGC